ATATTATAAATACTGATAATAATATAATAATATTAATAATAATATATAATAAGTCTAGTACGAGATGTTTTGATATCTCGATGTGGAATATTTTGATTAAGACCAAATGTATAACTTAAAATACATAAAGAATCGACATTTGAAATTATAATATTATGTAATACTAACTTTTTATTAAAAGAATTTTAATATTATTTTATTAAAATGATATTTTATGAAATTCTGATATTAAATGTTATAAAATATTTTGAATATAAACAATTCAATTGATATAAATTTTCTTTATAATAACTAAGTTAGTAATAATAACTAAATTTTTAAAAATAAATTATTGATTATATTTCCATACACAGTATATAAAATGTAGCATTCGTAATCAAAATTTGATCATAATTAATACATCGGTCATTATTATTTTTAATATAATTTTTGTGTATGGGTTATTGTTCAACACCATGCTGAAAATAGTAACTAATGTACATAATAATTGAGTAGTACAATAATCATTTTGCAGTTACGAAAAGATTAGCTTTAACAGATAAAATATAATCATTCGGTGATAGTTAATAATTGGATTTTGAGGTAGTTATTGTAAATTAATTTTTAAATTAATAATAAGCATGTAATATCCATTCAATACCTTCTGCTAGAGAAGGGGAGCGAATTAATCAATAATACTTAATTAACAAATTTTTTTACATTATGATACAAAAAAATAGACTATAAGAAAAATACTGAAGAAGGTGGAATGGGTTATCTCGTTAGAATATTTACCACAGCACTCATAAGTATACTCCGATATTGAATCCCGTAATATGCATAGTTATTTTCGCAACTCCAAAATTGAAAATATTTTAAGAAGTTTATAAATTTGTTTCTTTATTCATAGGAACAAAATCGATTGATAAATATTATATTAAATTTTTTTAGATAAGTAAATTTTAAGAATAAATATTTAATGTAAGGGAATATTTTTATTACATAAATTGAAGAATTAAAAAAATATTATTAAACGAAAATATTTATTGCTTAATCAATGTCAAGTAGTATTATTTGACTTTAATAAATTTTTTTCATGAAGTGAATTATTGTAAATTATATTAAAAATATTACAAGTTTACGTAAACATTAACATGATTGTAAGAACTAGAAATGTACATCAATTGTATATGTATTAAAGTACAAATTATTCATTCATTTATGAATTTAACTACATAATATAATAATATTTTTTAATTTAAAACTAAAAATGTAGAATACAAATTATAAACAAAATTTATTTATTTTAACATTTATATAATTTAAATGACGACAAATTTATTATTAAAACTACAAATAAAAGAATTAATAATTAGAAGTAAAATTACAATTTTTTAAATGATAAAAAATTGCAATATAATATATTTATTTATGAAGTTATGAAATATTTGTACTAAAATTAGTTAGTATTATATATAACACTTATATGTTATATACAATAATTATATAATAATTTAGTTGCTTAATAATTACACTGTTTACCATATAAAAATAGATTAAAAAATTATAATCATATTACAAATTTTAATTATATTTATTAATTAATAAAAATTTATTTGAATTAATTTATCAATATTATTACAAGACAAAATGATGTTTACTGATATTAACAATTGATTTCATTCAATTTTTAGGGTTTTTTATTACTTATATTATATTTTATATTATATACTACTTTAGGGTTTTTTATTACTTATATTATATTTATTTTATATATTATAACATAACATACTTTTAAAAAATTACCAATTAAAAAAGCAATCTTTAAATTTGTTTTTTCAATAGTAATTCCAATAATTAATTTAAACATTTCTGTAGATATTCTAACTGTTTAAAAAACAAATTTTTTTAACTTTATTTACAAGTAAACATTATTCAATTAAATAAATATATTATATGTAAAAATACAATTAGTTTTCACAATTAAAATTATAAGCGCAGACGACAAAAAATTTATTTGCGATAAAAATTATCGCTAATTTTAATACAATTGTGAATATATATATATTTATACGAGAAAAGTGTATATAACGAAATATTATAGTAAAAGCAACAATTATATATATTTAAATAAAAATGGCGTTAAATTATGATGTCTAATGTACTTACATATACTTTTTAGAACTGATTAGTATTTTTTTTCAATTCATGCATTTGTATTAAATTAATTAACGTATGGATGTTTCATTTATATAACTTTAGCTACTTAACAAATAAGTTAAGTAAATTAAAAGATAATTTTAAATATGATATGAATGAGTTTAATAACTAGTAGATTTATAAACACCTCGTTCTCATATATTTATAAATATGTATTAAAAATTACATGTTCAACCTATGCAAAAGTGTATTTTGTACATTATGGCTTAATATTACGATAACAATATGCACAGTAGTATTTATAGAAGTAACTAAACATCTCCTTTGCACGCTAGTCTATAGCCTTTGTCTATTAATAACTTAATAAAAATAAATGATAAGTTACTAAAACTTTGCTGTAAAGAAAATTTTAATAAAAGTTAGATGCCAAATAAACATATTGATAATCCAACAGATAACCGATTACCATGAAAAAAATAGAGATACACGTCGTAATGTTAACATATCATACCTATAGTGAGGCGCATGCGCTTAAGGCAAAAGAGGCCAGAGAAATATTCAATACTAATACGAAATATTCACGGTGGCAGTATAACTACTCATTATTAGCGTGTGGAGAAATAATGCTCATTTCACCAGGTGTTGTGTGTATATGTATAAAATAACCTGCGTTTTCTTGCCCTGGTCGATTATTATTATCTGCGCATGTGCTCTGTTATATTTTTCCTCCCTAATAAATTTATTGATACTTCTATCTTTCTGCGACAGAGATGATATCCATAAATCTATTGTACTAAAGGACATTTGAATGATCATTTCGTTATTACGATCGTAGATTTTGTGCTGTTTTCAATTTTATAAAAATTTTTTTTATATTGATTGATGATCTGATATGTTGAATAGTATAAACACTATTAACACACCAGAAATACCATTGATTGACATATATATGTTTTAACATTTATGTTTATATATTGAGACTTGCCAGAGGTGAAGGTTCGTATGCGTAAAATTAAATGATTCGACTATTTCAACATCAGATAAATATGTAATAAATTTTTAATACCTTTTTGTTTTGTTCTTAACAGTTTACGATTAATAACAAATTTTACTTTATTGCCGAATCCTTCAAAATATTTTTTTAATATATTTAAAATTTTTTAATATTCAACTGAAGAAAATATAATATTAATTAACCTTATAATTGTAATAAAAAATAAACAAGCTTCAATATTATTTCATCTCAATTATGTGCTTTAATTTAGTAAATAATTTAAAAAATTACGAAGATAATTATTCATAAATTATAATATTAGTAAAATCAAATCTAAAATAATTGTATATTAAATTTCTATATTATCTGACATTTTTATTTCTTTGTATCAATTTTTCTTTTTTAAAACAATTATCAATCTATGCATAATAAATTGTAATTTATGCATATATTATTATTATTATTATTCAATATACATTAATATGTTATTCATAATAAGAAGTTCGTTATATATTTACATAAATATTTATTAATATATTTATTGAAATAATAGAAACAATTGATGGGTAATAAGATATTAAAATAAAATCTATATATAAAAATTCTTATTTATAATTTAATTATAATAATAATAATTAAAAATGATAAAATTATTTTAAAAATAATGTTTTTTTTAGAATTAAATTAATTCAATTTTTTTAAAGTTTAAATTTATAAATAATTTTTAAGTATGTAAATGAAATGAAATATTTATATATAATACATAATTGTTCATTTATAAGTATTTAGAGATATTGTTAATTAATAACAAATTTCTAATTTATTAATTAAATATCTAAAGTTGATTAGAAATTAGTATTGAATTGCAATAAGAATATTTATTTCTATATAATGGGAAAAAGTATTTTCTAGATCAAACAACAATAATCGAAATTATTGTATTATTGTATTGTAATCGAATATAATCGAATATCTTAGATAGCAAATATAAAATTTTCTATTCATAAAATTATAAATATTGTTATTTAGCGATTTTTAAATAATTACAATTTAAGGATTTCATTAGAAACCATAGAGATTTCAAGCTTGTTTGTAAATTCTATGATTTGTCATTCCTTTACATCTAATTCCTATACATTAATACTTTTGTTTCAGTGGCACACTTATATATATATATATATATATGAAAATATGGACGGTATTAAAGAGTGTATGCATAATCAAAAAAAGTTTAAGCAAATATAAGATTGTATCAGTGAATTGAATTAGTACTGTCATTAAAGAAATAGTAAAAGTAATGCACACATATAAGTATTCTGTTATAATTTGTTGAAGGGTGAGTCTTTATCGTGCTAACAACGGTGATTGGGGAGAAATCACCGCAAAGTCGCGCCGGAAAGCGTGGGGATTATCCTTTCTTTCCAGTTTGTTTTTTCCTCTCACTTTTTCTCAATAAACGATAATAGTCTCGTCTTGTTTTCTATATGAATATGCACACGCGTGAATAATATTCACCCCTCCATTTATATTCTCTCTCTTGCGTTACTAGTATTGTCGATGAACACATGCACACTAGTAGCCAACGACAGAAAATGGAGAGGGGTTGTTAAAGGGGAGAGCTGCGCGCGCCTCTTCTATCTTTGTTCAATTCATGATGAAGTATGTTGGCTGGCTTCTCTCTTTTCTCTTGTCTTCATGTGGGAGTGAGATACATAATGATATAGACGGGTAGAGAACTAGCATATCGAGGGTGTGTGTAGCTCGACCAGAAATCCTAACTGACAGACGGACTTGGAGCGAGCATCGAGATAAAACGTATTCTCTCACTCTTCGTTGAATGCGTGCGCGTGTGAGAGAGAAAGAGAGAGAGAGAGAGGAAAAGCTTCGATGTAAAAAGATAAAGAGCTTATTTAAAACGACAAACTGGCCAACATAAAGTGATACGAAGAAATTTGAGTTATATTATTGAATATCAAAGGGAGTGAAAGAGAAAAATGAGAAGAGATGAGTAAATTTGAAGTATGATAGAATAGGCAGAATCAAAGTAGCAATGATGTCAAGAACAAGCGCAGCATCGTCCTTCTTAGGTCGATGACATGGATCCAGGCGTTGTGCTGTTATCTCTGTTACTGTATCGACATACAGCCGGTATTAGAAAACAATAGCAACGACGATAATTAAAAAGTTGTAGTAGTGCACAATAAAAGGCGATTAAGAATTAGATCTCATAATGCCGCGTTGTCTCATGGCCAAAAAGTGGAAAGCTTATCCATGGCCTGAAAGAGCTGAGGAAAGTGGTGAGTCTGAACAACAGAGTAGCAATGAACTTATCTCACAAAATCGAGATTTCATTTTCATCGACACGAAGCGTACACGAGACGAATTTCATGAAGGACAACAACAAGTGATTGCTCTGCAAACTGATGATGAAGAAATTGATGTCGTAGGCGATGTCGATATGAATAGATATAGCAATGGAGATGTTGAACAAATTAGCATTGAGAACCAGACCTGCTGGGGTCCTCATAGTCCCACGGCTGGCGCGACGGCTCCAAGCCCTCCACCACTAAATGCTTCAGGAGCTCTTTACTATAATGGTAAGTTACTTTATATATTTACCGTAAATAAATGTATATATAAAAAAATATATAAATAAAAATTTTAGTAATAAATATTAGTCAATTACTTGCAAATAATAACTAATCATTTTAACAAAGAGAAAAAATAATTATATAAAAATTTTAGAAATAAAATTTAATTTAACTAGATGAGCTTGTAATATGAACATTTTATAATAAAATATAAAAAATAATTAAGTATTGAATAACGTTAGAAAAGTATGAAATATAGAGTAAGTGATTTCTACATTGGAATTATAGTATAATTAAGAATATGAGATAACATAATTGATGAAGAGAAAAAACGTCAGGAAAGGGAGGGAACTATTCAAAGAATCAAAATACATTAAAACAAATTAAAAATTCCATATAATTGAAATAGCAAATTATTATGAATCTATAAAAAATAAAAAGTTATCAAAAAAGAAATATGAAATGTATGCGTGGGCATAATGCGTAAGAGCATAAAGAACATAAAGAGTATAAGAACATAAAATAATATATATCTCAAATTCAAAAATACAAGTGACTAAATGAATATGTAGATTTGCCACACCCATGCAGATTTATATGTGTGTAAACTTACGTAAATTGGCGTATTTGTATTTGTAATTATTTATATGTCGAAACACCCTATAAAAAATGTACATACTTGTAAAGTAAATTCTATTGTAAAATAATTGTTTTTTCATCTTAGAATTCTTTTAAGAAAAACTTGAAGATAAAATTTCTAAATTGTACTACATATTTAATTAAATTTGTTATTGCATCTATGAAATCTTATATTCATTTTATTTATTCGAGTTTATTGATGTTTTTAAGTAATATATGCAATTGCATACATTGCATACACTGCTATTTTTTAAATGTTATTCAGAATGAATGAATACATTTTATTTAGAATAAATAGATTTCTATTACAATATATATACATATATATAAAGATTTTGGCATTTAAAAGATTAGTTTTTCTTCTTTTTATTAAATATTTTATCAATTTATTTACTGCGATATGAAATGATGATAAATTAATTAGGTCACCAATCCTCGATATATATGTAACCGATACTGAAGTGTGGCGTAATACAATATATGGGAACGACCTGAATTTTTCAAATTTTCTATTATTTAGTTTTTATTACATAAAAAGATGAAAGTAGGCGTATTATTTAAAATATATTTGAAGCACTACTATGCAATGTAATATAAATGTTTAAATAATTCTTTTATTTCAACTATCTTATTTAATAAACAATTATCAATAAATTATTAGACAAAAATACAGCTGCACAAGCATGCACAACTCTCACATTTACACTCATACAAATATTTGGATATTGCAAAAATTATATTTATTCTGCCGATTAAAATTCTTTGATTTTGAAAAAAAATTTTATTGATATTTTATAACATTTTATATTTATATAATTTGATATGTTTCTTGTTTATTAATATTATATTGATAATTGAAATGACTGAAAATATGTATACATAAAATTCTATATTGAAATACATTGTATATTTTGAATCTTCTATTTAAATATACATTTAGATGCTTTAATATTATTTTCTAATTATCATATGAATATTTTGTTTCAAATACATATAAGCAATATTGTACCCCACTAGCGTAGCTAATATTGAATATAAAGTAATAAAATATTTTTATTATGTATGTAAAGAAATATTCTTTACAAATTACGGATACTTCATATTGATAATGTCAGATTTTTTATATTTACGATTAATTTAGCTAATTATATTTGACTAATTGTCACCCATATTGTAGTAAAAGTAGAATAGATCACCGTAACATCCGACTTTCATTCAGTCAGATATTTATTTTAATGTAGAGAATGTTATAGAATCAACAAGTGTAGTGATCCATATATAAGTATAGGTTTATATACATAAATATATCAATAATCAAATTTAATAATTTTTTAGATCAACATGTGTATTTAATTATCAATTATTAATAAATAATAAAGTTAATTCAATATTTAAAATATTTGAAACTTGATCGGTTATTAATAATTTATAATATATATATATTTCATTTATAATTGTGAATTACTTAAAATTTAATTCAATTATAATTAAATAATAAAAAGTAAATTTAATATTAAGAATTTTTTATTGAAATTAAATAGTACATTAAAATGTATTTCAAGATTTTTTCAAATACTTATTTATCCTTACACATAATTTTATTATGATTTTATGCTTCAATAAAATATTATTTGAATTATTTTTCTATTGAGTGCTTACAATGAATTTATATTTCTCTTATAATACTAATAGTAACTTATTTAAAAAAATGAAACATAATATTTTATTTGAAATAAACAACTATTAAGTATATATGATTAAGTAATATTATATATTAAATATATGTATTATAAAGTAAAATAAAATATAAATTTTAAAATATATATTTTATTATATATATATTATATATATATATAAATAAAATATATATTTTACTTTATAAAATAAATTTAAAATTTAATATAATATTGTGTTAAAATTTTTATTAAATCGTAAAAAAATTAACTTTTCAAAATTGATTATTGAATTAAATATTACAATAACATGTAAATCTTATAAAATTTATTTAATTCATATAATATAAATATAATATTTATCTTATTATAATTGACATTTTACGTCACAGATAATAAATTTATGATGAATAAAATTGTTATTAAAACAAAATATCACCTACAATAATATATATTATTTTATTTATATATTAGATCTTATCATAAAATATAATTAAATTTAATTAATTATATGAGTTATTTAACATTAATTTGATTGTATTTAATTTTAATCGCGCACATTAATTTATTTACTTATGTTTATTACGAGTACAGTAGCTTTAACAATATGCATGCGGTGTGAACATTATGAAAATATCTTCTTTCTATTAGGTGTATTATGAATTCGAGTTCATAATAAATTTTATCCTGAATCTATTTTTAATATTCTGATTTTTGTTATATATCTTGAATTTGTTTTCGATATGATTATTTATTAAAAAATGACAATACAAATTAATAGAGTTTGCATAAATTCTCAAATTGCTATAAAACTACTTATTTTATTTCAAAATAAATTTGATAAATTTTTAAGTAATTTTGGAATCTTTTAATGTTGATTAGATAGGTATTAATATAATACATAAATAATATATGCATTGTGTATTGGTTATTGATGTACAATAATTGCATCTTCGTTTTTCAAGGATTTAAAATTTAGTATTTCTTCATTTTTATTATAATAATAAATTAGATAATTTGGCAAAGTTATATCAATATTGAGGAATATAAAATAAATACGTTTTTAAAATAATTTAATTACAATGGTATATATATATATTATATAAATAAATCTATATATTTTTAACTCTGAGTTAAATTGAAAAATTTATTCTATAACGTAAAATATTAAATGTATAAACAATAAAAATTGTTATAATCTAATAATATAATTAATAATATAATAATAATAATTTAATAATATAGATTGTTTGTATTGAAAAAATAATAAATATGTTAAGAAATAAGCAAATAATGATTAAAAATTTAATATTAAAGTTATTCATGAATAAAAGTAAATAAAAAGTATTTGTAATATTTAAAAATATAAAAAAAGGTTGTTACATAATATATTTTTAGAAAAATGAATTGTAGGTAGCAAAATGCTTCAATGAAATAAATTAAATATTAAAGTAAGTATATAAGTTAATGATAAATATCTATAATTAAGAAGTTCGAATTCTTAGTATTTATAAGATGTTTATTTTATCTAAATTTATATATCTAAACAGTTTATTGCTCGCCTTTTATTTTTTAATTATAGGTCTGTTTCTTATACACTCTGAAATTGAAAAAAAACCTTTTAAGGCTTTTTTCAAATAGTTTTTCTATGTGCATGAACACAGTTAACATTTACAAATTTTTGTATATAAGAATGTTTGTCTTACTTTTATATTCCTAGTCCTTTCTTTTTTCATGTATTGTTTTATTTATTTTTAATTTATTATAATAATGAAACTTCTTTTCATATAATTCTGTATATAGAATATTTAGGTTCTATACAGAATTACAATATATTATAAAATATAATTTTATAATATTTATATGTATAACAATATATTTGAAACATATACATTTATGTAGGTGCACATATTATAGAATATATATTAAGCATCAGTATGATGCAAAACAATATCTTATAGAAACAAAATGGGTATATAAAAATATATATCTTTAATATATTTAATAATTATATATGTATTTACAAAAAAATAAATCATTTACAAATATTTAATTTACGTTTAAAATTTTTATTTATTGAAAATAAATATATTAAAATTTAATTTTTAATAAAATATTCTTATTCAGTTATTTTATTTATATAATATTATTTATATTATATATAAAATTTATAATGAAATATTTGTAGTAAATCATCAGAAGCTTTGTTAATTTCTTTTATCATCAATATAAGGGAGGCATGTATTTTTTAATTATAATCAAGCATCCGATGATATTTAGTAAATTTCGACGAAGATAGAAATATCATAGATTAAGGTGTTTAAGATAATGTTGAACTTGGGATAAGGGTGTTCATTATATCTGAACCAATGTCACTTGTGTTGCCTACACGAATCGTAGTATATCATACTTTTGTTTTAAGTATATAAATATACAATTTTCTTCATCCAGAGTTGAACCATCGTTATCGTTTATTTTGTTAAATTCTGAAGATGTGAAGAGGAGGTTGAATAAATAAAGGGAAACATTTTTACTAGCAAATCAATATGAAAAATATCAAAAAATTACTAGAAATATAATTAGAACTATCTCTGTATATACCAATAGATTCACCAACTAGTAATTTTTTTGAAGCGATGATGAGTGCATATCAAAATAAAATTATATGACGATAAATTGAAAATATATCTCTAATATTTGAAAATAGCTTCTCTATCGCTTAATACATAGAAAGACTATTCAGAAATAAAAATAGAAGTATATGAAAGTACAAAGCAAATTCAATAAAAAAAATTTTAATTAAAATGGTGTTAAATGATAAAAGATTTAATATATTTCAATGTTGTATTATTTTATGAAAGATTAAGAGAAAAAAATAAGACAGTTAAAACCACGCATTTAGTTTTACTAACAAATCGATTAAATAATAGACATGTTTAATTTATTGACATTATCATAATGAAAAAAGTCGATCTAATTATAAGTTTATTTTTAATTTAATCAATACAAAACATTGTTTAATGAAATATATTCAAAACATATTTCATCCTAATTCTATTAACATAACACCAATTGCGGTATAAAAACTTAATTAGTAATTTGTTTGGCTCAATTATATTCGTCAAAAAGTTCTCTTTTAACATGTCAGCGATAACTAACCAATATCGTTTATTTGAACATTTTTTTCTTTATATTATTCAATTTTCTAATATTTAAAATTAAGATTCTACTATTAAAAATTATTTTCGTTTATTAAAATATAACACTATATAAGTGATTTTTTAAATATAGTCACAATACATTATATAATTGAATATATCATTTTAAAATTATATTATGATTTTTGTTCAATGATTTAATCAATCATTCAAATGGATTTAAATGGTTACTACACATGGTCACAAATAAAATCATTGATTCAAATATTTATCTAGATAGATATTTTCTTAATTTCATTTAAATAAAATTTGTTATTGTAATATTATAATAAATTATATATTTATATAAATTACATATATAAAATAGTTTAAATACTTAAGTATAATTTAAATTGATGTTTAATTTTATATACATTTAATTATAAATTATATCGTATATTAATCACTTTTTTAAATAATTTGACATGTATTGTTTTATATGATGTGTATTACTATAAATATTTTTATTATTAATTCTACATTATAGTGTACTATTTTTAATATTTAATTTACACAAAATGCTATTAGTTATATTTTATATGAAATTAAGTAAAGTAGCAATTATATGAATTAATTTATATTAATGTTTTCTAAATTTTATAGGATATACGCATGAAGCCTGGATAAATCACGAAGAACCGCCAAAATATGCCACCTTACGCTCAGCTGCTGAATTAGCAAGACCAAGAGTTTTTTCTCCAACGTCATCACATCATAATATTCATGTACTTCAAGAACAATCAGAGAATTCAAATCGTGCAATATTATCCTCACTGCAACAAAGTCATCATCATCAACAACAACTAATTCACCAAAATACTACAATTTCTAGTTCAATAACTCTTCCTCCACGTAAAAGTCTCTCTATGTGTTTTACCAGTACAGGAACAGCTTTATCTTTGCCTCCAAAAAAAAAAGATATTTATCGACCATACAGTCTCCAACCACATGAAATCCGCTCTTCTGCTGAAGAAGATCTTTCTGCTGCACAAGCTATTCTTGATTTAAGTGCTTCTCCAGCAGCTCCTACACATTCTATCTTTATACATAGACTCTCACCTTCTTCACCTTCTTCTTCGCAGCTAAGTACATTACATCAGTCACAATTACCTGTTTCCATTCCAGTTTCTGTCTTAGTACCAATTCCAATTTGTCAAAATCTTCAACAACAGCCATTAAAAAGTGAAAAGACATCAGAGCCTCAATTATCTACTATTGTGGAGGCTAATATTAATAATGTTAATAATGACGCTACTATCAATATTTTTAGTCCTACCAATAATTCTAACAGTTCTAATAAAACCGTTGCATATACTTATGAAGCTTTTTTTGTCTCTGATGGTCGATCCAAACGACGTACCAGTAACTCTTCTGTACCTGATAAGGAATCGGTTACTCAAGTAGATCGACCGAAATTTACTTGTACAGAATGCGGGAAACGGTATGCTACATCTTCAAATCTTTCACGGCATAAGCAGACTCATCGTAGTCTTGACTCGCAATCTGCAAAAAAGTGTATTCATTGTGGCAAGGCATATGTAAGCATGCCAGCTCTCGCTATGCATGTGCTTACTCATAAGCTCGCCCACAGTTGTGGTGTTTGTGGTAAAATGTTTTCAAGACCGTGGCTGTTGCAAGGCCATCTTCGTAGCCATACTGGAGAAAAACCATATGGTTGTGCTCACTGTGGTAAAGCTTTTGCTGATAGATCAAACTTGCGTGCTCACATGCAGACTCATTCAGCGGACAAGAATTACGAATGTTCGCGTTGTCATAAAACTTTTGCACTTAAATCTTACTTGAATAAGCATCTAGAGTCAGCTTGTTTACGAGAAGATGAGATTCAGAATTCTGGTATACTAAATGGAGCTCAACACCATCAGTTACAGACCAACCGTGGATTGTAGCAGTCCTATCAACTAGCAATGAATAATGCCAACTTTCACGATCTTCCTAAGAATGCAGAATCAAGAATGAGCTAGCGGATATCCGGGTAAACATATTTAAATTAAAATAGGAAAATTTCTTTAAAAGGTTACATATTTAAAAATTAATTTTCGTCGATTAGTATTTCTTTGAGTCTTCATAATCACGGATGAACAAGATGGTGATTTTTTTATCCGTAGTGAGCAATTTTTATTTCGGAAACTATTGTGGGAATACAAATAATTGTATTTATTCATATTTAAGCGTGTTATTAGACAACATATTATAATTAGCCTAATGGCGTTACATCTACGTTTTAACACGTATAAAAATAGATACATTGCACATAAAGCGTAAGGAACTTTTATAGTAGGTTAAGTAGAAAAGTGCCAGTACCATGTAGAAGAGATAATTATCTTTAACATTGACTTAAGAAACGTCCAGTAAATTTAAGAGTATAAAAAAAGTAAGGATAAGAAAGAAAAAATATAGTGAAATATTGACGTCCACATTGCAGCCTAGCTATTCTAATCAATAAAAGATCAATAAAATATATATTTAATAGTCTATTAATTAGAATACATAAATAATTTTTTGTGCAGACATATACTCCAACCTCTAAACATAATTGCATTTAATTAATTTGTTTCTACATTTATTTACTAAGTTTCAGAAAGAATGTATTTATTCAGTTTTGTAATGTATATTTATTGTCGATTGATCATTTGATTGATAAAGGGGATTGATGAAGTTAAGTATTATTTCGTGTAATAAATATACATAGTTCCACAAACAAAATCATACCATGGCAATGAAAATTAAATAAATATGTTTTTTAGCAAATTTTGTTTAATATATGAGAATTCATAACGTACATCGAGGGTTTAAACCAAATGGAACTAATGAATATACATATTTTAGTTTATTCGGTAAAATAATTATATATTTATTGCCTAGTTGATATAGATTTAAATAATTCATTATTAATTAATAATATGTATTATATAACCAAAACAATTAATCGAAAATAATTATTATTCAATTACTTATATAAACTAAATCCTGATTATTAATATTTCACTAAATTACGTTAATCTTTGCATTAACGATATTTATGAACAAAGTGCCTTAAAATAATTAAAGGCATATTTAAATTTTAAATTAGCAAATATAATAAATAAATTTGACTGGCTGAAAATAAACATTAAATGTGTAAAATATCAATTATAGGCAATTTTAGGTAGCGTTAAAAATTATTGTGATAAAAAATTCATTAGATCCTGCGGTGCTTACCTCGACGTAACAATAAAATCCAACTAAAAGCAATAAAAATGGGAAGAATTAAAATTATTTACAAATATTTCATTTGTGACCAGAATATAGATATTAATAATGCGTAATAAAAAATAAGAAACCATGTACTTATACTTAAAAATATACAATTATTGATACATATTAAGTAAATATTTAACATTTAGAGAAAATCTCAAATAAACATACAGTAATGTTGAAGATAAAATTTAGCGTAACACCAAGGAAATACAAAAGACTATTAGATAATCGTATAGTTTAATGCCAAACATTGTATATTGTTAATGAATACTCGTTCCTTTTGTTAAATTTCTAGAAAAATATTAAATCATATGAGGCACTTATATTCAAAGCAATGTTTCGACACAACGAATTAAATTTTAATCTATAAAAGTGAACATCGAACAAAATGATAAATCTATTTGAAAAGAAATTTGAGTTTTTGTATGTATTTTCTTCGTATTAATTATTGATTTGATGCGATGAATTTCATGCGAGGTTACTTGTAGTACTTTATTAATATCTTGAATTAAGTTGAAAAAAGTGATAAGATATTAATATGTTACTTTTAATTATGTAACGTTATACAATGATTCAGTGTAAAATTAAAGTAAAACAAATGCAATCATAAACTATTAGAAACTCAGCTTTTAATTTATTTTAAAGAGTTAAAAAATATAAATATATCTATTTGTAAAAATAAGTATTAAAAAAATAAGTATTTCTTAAGTATATACATTAATTTGTCAATTAAAAATAATTGATAATAGGATTTAGTCAATTATAAATAAAATTGTATCATTACCATAAGAGTAAATTTAAATATGAATATAATTTCAAATCAATTTGGAAAATAATTAGTAATAAAAAATTAAATAAATATATGCATATTAAGCAACAGCGATTTGAATTCTGAAGTTTCGATACAAGATAGAAATTAATCATAAGTATTGTGCAATTATTGATTTTAATTTATCTGTAATCATATCTATTTAATGCAATGATAAATCAGTTACATAAGGCAGTCTTCAGGAATTGCTAATTAATGTCAAAGTATTAAATTGCAATGAGAATACTTGTTGAAAGCTCTAATTATTTACTTGTGCAAGAGTTTATTATACGGAGAGCAATATTTCTTAATAATATAAATTTTGCAATTATTTTTAACTTTAATTATTATAATATAATAAATTGTAAAAATGAAAATAGAAATACATAGGCATGTCACTGTGAGGCTGTAAGCATACACGCGCACGTCCATTAAACAATTTGATGCTTTATATTTTTTGTCCCGATTGCATAGAATTAATATACAAATCCTTATATAACTAATATATATTTAAAAGCAACAAATAGGAGAATAATAATATAAAGTTAGTTGAAAAATTCTAAAGATTATTAGAAACCAGAAAAATGTGAAAAAGCGTGAAACACAAATTAATTATACAGTAATAGTATAAGAAATGTATAAAGTGTGTAATATTTAAATGCAGTGCGTTTATTTTCGGTATATATGTTGTTAAATTTTAATAGATCACTGAAGAATAAACGCACTAATTATATTTTAATTTAATAAGTATTTTCGCGGTGCAAATAGAAATGTTTTTTATTGAATTACATGGTTTGTATTGCATATGCCTAATATGGATTCAACATTTTTTAATTTCAATTTAAGAAAAATAAACTGAACATAATATTTATTCATTTTAATTAAAGGTATATTATGTTAGTTAGTATTTAAATACTACTCGTTCGTATTTTTAAATTAAAATTATTACTTTTATGACTTTACGACGATTTATTTAATATTCTTACGTATTTTGAAATGTCCGAAGTAAAATTCGTAATACTTGTCAAATAGGATTACTATTTAATAATGTCTTTTTATAATTGTAAAAACTCTATTCTAATTAAGAGTACTTCTTATATACATTTGGGTAATAATAATTTAACAATATAATTTTATTATTTGTAGTAGATTCACCTATAATTCATTTTTATAAATTATTTTCGATATTTAATATAAAGAATAAAATTCATAAGTTATAATTATGTTCACTTTTATTATTTTTATTCTGTAATTGCCATATTTTATATATTTAATTTAATTATCTATGTTATTACATTTATTGTGTTCATTAAAATTAAATTATAACGAACAACGATTTTATACAACGAGTGAAATAACACACTTAGTTTATATGTAGACAGCCATTTTACTTAACCAAAAATTTTTACATTATGCGAATCTCTTTTTGATATATAGATTATATAGATTATAAAACATTAGTAGAAAAAAAAATTAAATAAAGAACAGATAGAAAATTTTCGAAAAAGTATGTGCTTAATTTTCATACTTCAATTATATTGTTATTTTATAATCATTTTAAAATCATATGTTGTTTAGATATTTAATATGGAGAAATATTGTATAGAATTATAATTAACTAAAAGCATATTGAAAGAACAAACTAAAAAAATGATATTACAATTAAAAGGTATATTAAGCTTAATTATATTTTTAAGATATACAATTATGGCAAATATAATTGAATTTATCTCCATTCGCAGATGTTTCTTAGAAAATATTAAATAATTATATATATATAATATAGATTCGAGAAAAATGAAAATTAATATGTAGTACAGTCGCTTCCAAATTTATATATACATAATAAAATGTATTATTAATTAAATGATCTGCAATATAATTGCAAACTTAACTGAATTACATAGAGAGCTTTAAATTATATACGAAAACTTATTCACAAATAGCCTTAACTTATATTTTCACTGGTTTGTAAAAAATTTGTCTATATAATGACAAACTATGACGATTTTTTTATTTGAAGTTTTCAAAAACGCTTCAATAATAATAAACATTCTTTATAATACTAAAATATTTATACTATTAGAATACACGTTTCTAAGACAATATATCTGTTTCTTATTTAAATTTGCAGACTTAATAAGTATTTAAAATTGATTTGATATTTTATTCAACTAATTAAAATTTTTAATAGGTAAAAATTAGATAGAAACTCATATTTTATAGTCATCTTTTACAAGTATCATCTAAAATAATTTGTAATCTATGTTCTTAATTTCAGTTTTGTTTACTAATTTAATTAATTTTTTTTATATATTATCTATTGTGAATTAATTTGTATACTAATACTTTTCAAATCGTAATTATACAATGAACATTAGAAACTCATATTATATAGAATTAGATATTTCTAGTATACTAAAAATATGTAAATTATTTAAATCGTAATTAAAAAAATATAGTTATAAACTTGCTACTAAGCAAATAATTCCTTTTTATATAAATTTTAAATTTAAATCATATATTTCTATTAAATTAATTATGCTTTCAACTATATTTTTCTTTAAATTTCTAATTCTCTTACTATACCTATAGTTTGATAAGTATAGTTAAAAGATTAAAATTTTTATATTAAATACTTACATAAAAATATTTTGTAGTTGAACAGTACTAAAGACAATTATATGAAGAATTGTGAAAAATGAAATATATTGAAAGTATTTTTCTCTATTTATTTGATAATTTAATATTCATTAATATTTTTTATTTATTTATAATCAATAATTTACTTGCCCAAACGCTGAAATACATTACGAATTTTCATATTCCAAAGCTTCATTGCTCTTATTGTTTGTTTTTATAACATTACTTAAATTAACTCAAATTTACGTTATAGTTTCAATTTTTTATCTACGTTTTCAC